GGAAATGTAAATGTTGTTGTGCTCCTCCTGAATGTTATTCTTGCATTGCATTGAGGATACCAGAATTCTGGTCATTGAATCATTAATTTCATTTAATTTCATTTATTGATTTATTTTCTTTTCAGACTAGTACCTTTATTAATCAGGGGTCGCCACAGCAGAATAAACTGCCAACATATCCAGCCTATGTTTTATGCAGCGGATGCCCTTCCAGCTTCAACCCATCATGGGAAACATCCATTCATACACTACAAACAATTTAGCTTACCCAATTCACCTTTACTATGTCTTTGGACTTGTGGGGGAAACCAGGGCACCTGGAGGAAACCCACGTGAACACAGGAAGAGCATGCAAACTCCACACAGAAACACAAACTGACCCAGCCGGGGCTCGAACCAGAGACCTTTTTGCTGTGAGGCGATTATGCTACCCACCGCACCACCGTGCTGCCCATCATTCATTTGTATCCAATAAATTACTAATGTTTTTGACATTAAAGGAAACCCTCTCCTGACCTTTTTTAATGAACACATGAAATTGATTACATATTCTAAAGTTGACAGTGTTATAAATGACAAATAAACTAAAAATGAGCATTAATGTAATGAACTCATGTGTAATGAAAAAAAAAATTAACAAAAAGCAAGTGTCTTAAAAACAAATAAAAATATATAAAAAACATAAATAAAAATTAAATACCATATTTTATTTCACGTATTTGATAAACAAATAAATAAATAACCGTAAGAAAATACATTAAAACATTTTAATTACAATTATAATTTAGATTTCATTATATTAAATTATAATTAAATATTTTAAATAAATATTTTGTATATTTAATATATAGACATAAATAAATAAATGTATATATATATATATATATATATATATATATATATATATATATATATATATATATATATATATATATATATATATATATATGCTGTATTTTTATATATTATGATGACAATTATTTTATCATAATAAATTATGATAAAAATGAAATAAATATGCTATCATAATATGAATAAATACATAGAAATACACTTCACAAACAAAAGCAAACAAGCAAATAAATAATGGCAAATAATTCTGTTGATTAGAAATACTTGTATATGCATATAATAAACATTTTTTTTTTTATTTAGGCAGTACAGTTTTTCTGCATACCACATTGCTGTATATGTTGTATCGAAGAAACATTTGTAACAGAGCAAATGTATCTTCTGCAAACCAAATCTCCTTTTGGAAGAGATGCTCCTCGCAAACTGCATCTATTTATTTGTGTGTGGGCATTTTGATCTAGTGCTGACGCAAATGTGCACACATCAAATCTGATGCAATAGATCAGATCGTTGTTTTCATGTGTTGTGCGGTGGGCCCGGAGCCCCCGCTGTGAGGATGAGGTTTGCTGAGCCTCCTGAGCCCCATTCAGTGCTATAAGAGCAGCGGTGGTGCACCTGCTCCCCGCAAGGACCCCGGCGTCCCGGCACTGCGGCCCCCAAGAGCCACATAGTGGGAGACAGGATCATCGCAGCCTTCTTTCAAGATCCCAAATCCCCCCCAGACTCCCCGGCTCACATCCTGCAGCTACTCTGGCACATGTTTTGTGTCTGTCTGAACTGTGACCTTACGATAGGTATGGGCGATCACCGGGGGATGTTGTACACCTAAAATAAATGGTGGATAAATATACCCATGCACATAATAAGTAACACTTTTGAATAAAGGTCCATTAGTTAATGTATTTACTAACAATAACCAAGCACAAGCATTTATTAGTCATAATTCAACATTAACTCATGCATTATTAAAATCCAATGAGCTTATTAACATTAGATAATGCAATGTGTGGGTTAATATGATCTAACATGAACTAATAATATTTAACTTAACATTACTGTTAACAAAGATAAATAAATACTGTAACTAGTGCATTATTGATCCTTTGTTCATGTTAGTAAATGCATTAACATTAACTAATGGACCATTATTTAAAGTGTTCCCACATTGTTTACCACAATGATTTGATATGGCCAAAATATGATGTCATTTTTTAATTTTTAATTAATTTTTTTTTTTTTTTTTTGTGGAAATAGGGTCATTGTACAAATCACCTAGATTGAAATCGTTGAGTTTTACCATTTTTTTAATTATTCAGCCGATCTTCTGGAGCACTTTTAGCTTGGCTTAGCATAGTTCATTGAAGTGGATTAAACCATTAGCATCTTGTTTTAAAGCTATTTCACGAGTTCACACTCGCAGATACAGTATTTGACTAAATGCATATTTGGCGCACTGTCCGGGGGGAGGGGAAGACACCCTAACACGTATACTTCCCCTTATCAGGATATAGAGATAGGGGTCCATGCACAGTGTCTAGCCTGGCCCCAGAATGCTCCCACCTCAGATTTAAGTTGGTATCTGGTTTAACAGTGTGGAGTTGGGGTGGTGGAGGGATGCTTAAGTCAAGAGAAAACAGATATGACATGTTTGACTATTTATAGGGGTTTGGTCTTAAGCTGATGGGATAATAGAACGATTGTCAATAATGAATTAGGCTGGTCAAAACTGATCGTGCTTCTCCTGGAATTTGTTTATAAAACATCACTTCTGACTGAAAGATTGTACATTGTGTGCTGAGACTGACAGAAAATTAAAAGTTGTGGGCACAATGATTTTACACAGTGCTTTTACAGAGTTACCTAGCTGGGGACTATTTTCAGGTGCCGTATAATATCATTGCACCTGCTTCATCCACGACAGGGCAGCAAAGTTTTTCTTTAAAGCCAGCCTAGGTATTTATAGATATAAAAAAAGAAAAAAAAAATCACAGTAGGGCTAATAATTTTGACTTCAACTGTATATTGCATTTGATAAAATATTGTTCATCCTTACCATGGGCGCTGTGTTGGCAGCAGGGGTTTGGCGGAGGTCAGGTTGAGGGGTAGCGGCTCTTTAGCAGGTGGAGGGTTGAGGGCTGCAGGGGCAGGGTTAGAGTAATGATGGAGACGGTGGAGGAAGTGTTGAGCTTCACATCAGCTTCCATCAATTTCAGGCACTACAGGAAGACCATGAAAGAAACTGGCTCCATAATTCTGCTAATTATGATCTGCTGCTAGTCAATGCTGGTATCTTCCTGAAATTAAAGCAATATAGGCACTATAAGAAAGATTGATGGTGAGGTGAGAATATTACACAGTAGTGGAATAGCAATATACTGTTGAAGTCATAATTATTAGCCCCCCTTTGAATTTTTTTTCTTTTCTAAAATATTTCCTAAATTATGTTTAATAGAGCAAGGAAATTTTCACAGAATGTCTGATAATATTTTTTTTATTTTGGAGAATGTCTTATTTGTTTTATTTTAGCTAAAATAAAAGCAGTTTTTAAATTTTTTTAAACAGCATTTTAGGGTCAAAATTATTAGCCCCTTTAAGCTATATATTTTTTGATAGTCTACAGAACAAACCATTGTTATACAATAACTTGCCTAATTACTAGGCTTAGTTAAGCCTTTAAATGTCACTTTAGGCTGTATAGAAGTGTCTTGAAAAATATCTAGTCAAATTTTATTTACTGTCATCATGGCAAAGATAAAATAAATCAGTTGTTAGAAATTAGTAATTAAGAAATGTGTAAAAAAAAAAATCTCTTCGTTAAACAGAAATTGGGGGAAAAATAAACAGGGGGGCAAAAATTAAAGGCCGCTAATATTTGTGACTTCAACTGTATATTGGGTCATTTAGGGTCAGTTTCTTTTTTCTTTCTATTTGTTAAATAAAAACAGCATTGGATAAATCAAAAGTGATATTTTTTATCTATCAAAGAATATTGAAACATTCATTCATTCATTTTCCTTAGGCTTAGTCCCTTTATTTATAAGGGGTCACCACAGCGGAATAAACCGCCAACCTATCCAGCACATGTTTTACACAGCCAATACTCATCCAGCTACAACCCAGTACTGGAAAACATCCATACACATTCACACACAAGAACTTTTTTTGGATGAACAGAGGAAATCCAATGCACTGAATCTCTAAAATTATAAATATTTAAAATAGGTATACTATCCTAATGAATAAACTACATTTAACTTAAAAAAGACTCAAAAGTAAAAATATTGTCCAACAGCTACTATTTATCAAACTGTAGTAAGTCTATTGATCTGCTGTCAGTCTATGTGGGCGGAGTAATACACAAAGGTGAGGAGGCTGTACAATGCTGATATTCCTTTAATATCTCACGGCTATCAGCCAATCAGATTTGAGAACCAGACATAACTGTTGTATAAACATTAGTAAATTATAATTTAGTAAATGTTCTTAGTCTATATTAGTTATATGTTATTATATATATATCTATATATATATATGTATATATATATATATATATATATATATATATATATATATATATATATATATATATATATATATATATATATATATATATATATATATATATATATCATAAAATGCATTGCACTGACCACTCCACAGTGTTTGCTGTCTATAGACAATAAAAATCCATAATCAATTGACCAATTCTCCAACTACAAAAAAAATAAAAATAAAAAAATAAGGAGAAAAAAACAAAATACACACACTCACACACAATACCAAAACAGCAATCTAACAGAGAGAAAGGGAGAAGAGCCTCTGTGGTGTATTTATTCAAGTCTTCTCCTCATTCTTGGCAGCCGTTCAGCCCCTGTAAACAACAGACACTGATCTGACCTTTTCAATTGGTGGAGACTGAACTCACGCTGTGTGAGAGCCGTCCTGAAGCAAAGGGTGGCAGACAAAAGCTGAACTCACGACAAGAAATCGTTATTATGTAGGACAGGGGCTCTGGCTCACATTAACAGATGTGCACTTCTCTAAACTGGAGGAGTATCAAGCACTTAAATCAAAGCCCGTGGGATTTCTGACACGAGGGGATTGATGAATCTTCACACTCATTTGTTGTTTTTTTCTTCACTCTGCAGGTTTCAAGAATCGTCCCAAGTCTCTCAAAGTCTTTGTGAACCCCATCAGTCATAAGAAAGAGGCATACCAGATCTACCTGGATGAAGTTGCTCCGCTCTTCAAACTCGCTGATATACAAGTGGATGTCACCAGTAAGTCTCACACACAGGTTTTATTCCCAGGTTAAGCTTGAATCTTCATGCACAGGTGATTTGGGGTCCCCCCAGGCCTCACTCGGGGTCGAAGTGCATTAGCGTCTGCCCTCGGGGTCTGTTTATCCCTCTGTGCTCAACAATTCCCTGTATGCTAACAAGCTGCTGCTTTACGCCATTAGGCATTGGCAGCGGATCATAGGAAATCAATATTTTAGGGTGAGGAATGTCAAGGTCCCTATGTTAATGCATCATTTGAATACACACTTAAAGGCAAAATTAATCATGTTTGCTATTTGAACTGCCATCTCTGCATGCATTTAAACACCAAGGTTTAGAGGGAAAAATAATAATAGAATATGCCGTACTGCAGAAGCAACACTGTACAAGATACAACTTGTTATTATACATGCTACATGTGAATTGGGTAAATAAAGTAAACAACTAATAGTTATGCACCATATTTCTCCAGTTGATTGATTGATTTATTTGTTTTAGTAATGTGTATTTATATAGCGCATTTTTTGTGTATGGTCATACACCCAAAGCGCTTCAAAATCATGAGGGGGGTCTCTCCACACCACCACTAGTGTGCAGCATCCACTTGGATGATGCGACAGCAGCCACAGGACAACGGCGCCACTGCGCTCACCACACATCAGCAATTGGTAGAGTTGAGAGACAGTGATAGAGCCAATTCGGTGGAAGGGGATAATTGGGAGGCCATGATCGTAAGGGCCGATAGAGGGACTTTGGCCAGGACACCGAGGTTCTTCCCTGCTCTTTCACGAGAAGTGCCATGGGATTTTTAATGACCACAGAGAGTCAGGACCTCGGTTTAACGTCTCATCCGAAAGACGGCACCCACTGACAGTGTAGTGTCCCCTTCACTTTTACTGGGGCATTAGGACTCACACAGACCACAGGTTGAGCGCCCCCTGCTGGCCTCACTAACACCACTTCCAACAGCAACCTAGTGTTCCCCCATCCAGGTACTGATCAGGCTCAGCCCTGCTTAGCTTCAGTGAGTAACCGGTCTTGGGCTGCAGGGTGATATGGCTGTGGTTACAGTAACTGGTCTTGGGTCTTTTTTGCATTAAGGGTTATGTAAAATATTATGTTAAAATATGCAAATTATTTAATATTTAATTAAATACGTGTCAATATCCATCCATTTCTAGCAAATCAGGTTCAGAATTATTGTTTAATTTTTTTGACAAACAAAAAATGTCGACTCAAAGGAACTGAAATCTACTGACGAAAAAGAAATGTTAAATTCATTCATTCTCCTTCGGCTTAACCCCTGAATATCAGGGGTTGCCACACTATTCCGGCATATATTTTACACAGCGGATGACCATACAGACGCAACCCAGTTCTGGGAAACACCCATACGCTCTTGCAGTCACACACACACACACACACACACACACACACACACACACACACACACACACACACACACACACACACACTTTCATATCCCATGGCCAACTTAGTTTATTGAACTCATACACTACAGGCAACATAGTTGATTAAATTCACCTATAGCGCATGTCGTTGGACTTGTCAGGGATGCCGGAGTACCTAGAGGAAACCCACAAGAACACGGGGAGAGCATGCAAACTCCACACAGAAATGACAACTAGTCCAGTCTGCACTCAAACCAGAGACCTTCTTGCTGCAAGGCGACAGTGCCAAATAACTGAGCCACCGTGCCGCCCAAAAATTTTGCATTAAACTGAAAAGCACTATGAAAAGTTCCATGTACAGCTCCATGTACAGACCAAAGTAGGTCAAAAAGTTCCTAAAATTACTAAAATTATGTCATGCAGGCCAGACCAGAAACACTATGCATCTGTGCGCATATGCAAATATCCCACCCTGCAAAAAATAATTTTAAGGAAGTATATTCACTGTAAAAACTTTCCACACACTTCTTTTATGTTGTCATAACACGAATGGATTAAAACAATTAAGCTGTCCCAAAAGGGCAGCACGGTGGCGCAGTGGGTAACACAATTGCAACATAGCACGAAGGTCGCTGGGTCAGTTGGCATTTCTCTGTGGAGTTTGCATGTTCTCTCTGTGTTTTTTGTGGGTTTCCTCTGGGTGCTCCAGTTTCCCCTAGAAGTCCAAAAATATAGGTGAATTGGGTAAGGTTTAGGTGAATTGGGTAAGCTAAATTGTCTGTATTGCCTGTATTTTTAAATGTATTTATTTACAATTTTTGCCAACATTTCTGTAAATCTGTAATATTTGACTACACAAACCTGTTCCAAAGTCTTAAATAAAGCAAATAAATATTAATAAGTAAATATATATATATATATATATATATATATATATATATATATATATATAAAATAAAATAAAATAAGTCCCTTCAAATATTATTCATGCCCAGCTACACATCTTTATCTAATAAAGTATGGCGGAATTAAATGGTTTGAGCGCATATTCCTGACGAGTGATTTTGTGTTCAAGGCTCAATTGGCAGCTCCAATGACCGTGGCAATTTGCACTAGAAGTACTTTACTGGAGCTTCTGGGAGAGGTGGCATGTGTGCATATGGTTCTATAGTCTAACACATTTGTTTTTATTGACTCATCATGCCTATAGATTGACATGTAAAGAAGACAGGAACACACCAAGCAAATGGTGGTTCTCCTGTTTCAGCATGTAGAATCTGTGAAAGAGTGTACTGTACTCTGATTGACTGTTTAGCTACATTCAGAGCACGAGAACAAAAAACAAAGAGACAAACCGAGCAAATAGTGCAAGTCAAGAGGAAACACAAAAAAGCTGGCTGTCATTCATTCATTCATTCGGCCTAGTCCCTTTATTCATCAGGGGTTGCCACAGTGGAATGAACCACCAACTTATCCAGCATACGTTTTACACAGCGGATGCCCTTCCAGCTGCGACCTTTCACTGAGAAACAACCATAAACACTCATCTGCACACATATATACTACAGCCAATTTAGTTCATTCACTTCACCTGTACCACATGTCTTTGGACTGTGGAGGAAACCGGAGCACCCGGAGGAAACCCATGTCAATACGGGAAGAACATGCAAACTCCACACAGAAATGCAAACTGACCCAGCCAGAACTCAAACCAGCAAACTTCTTGCTGTGAGGCGACAGTGCTAACCACTGAGCCACCGTGTTGCACCCCGGTTGTCATTTCATCACATTTTTTAAATATTTGCAAATAATATGGATTATCAGACATAATTGCACAAGTGAATCTGTCAGTGCTGAGCGAGAATTACTGTGAAAATATTTCAGAAATGCTGCTTTGTTTACAGTTTGTATGTGTGCAGCACTAGGTCTGGTTTACCTTTATGGAACGATACCAATACTGCCACCTTCTGGTAGGGACAGATACTTTACATGTCTTGTGCAGGTGCAGATCATATTTTATTTTCTCATTTTAGTAATCTGACGTCTGCCTTTTGGTCCAAATGTGGTGACAAAGTAAGTCATTTTTAGTCATGAATTGATTTATGAGATGTTGATCTCTATTCTGTCAAATTTTTATGTTGAAAATTCGACTCTACAGTTTAACAAAGTGACTTTTATTGACATTTTAGCAGTTTGAAATAATTTAATGTATAAGAAATAATATATGGAGGAAAAAGTCTGTAAAATAACAGAAATGTACTGAGAGTTTATTATAAGTTTTTGTACTGTATGTACAACACAGACCCAGACATTATATCACTATTAAAATTTTAATAAAAGTCACTTTTTCAAACTTTTCAAGGTTAAAAGTTGTTGGAAGAAAGATCAAGGTTTCATAATGCAATTCAAAAGCATGAATAAAAAAACATTCAATTCACCTTTATTTGTATAGCGCTTTTACAATGTAAATTGTGTCAAAGCAGCTTCACATAGAAGATCATAGTAAACGGAAACAGTGTAGTCCAGTTTTCAATGTTCAAGTTCAGTTCAGTTTAGCTCAGTTCAGTGCGGTTTAATAATCACTACTGAGAGTCCAAACACTGAAGAGAAAATCCATGGACGCGCAGCTCTACCGGTCCCGAACCATGCAAGCAGTGGCGACAGCGGCGAGGAAAATACTTCACCAATTGGCGGAAGTGAAGAATTAAAAAACCTTGAGAGAAACCAGGCTCAGTTGGGCATGACCATTTCTCCTGTGGCTAAACGTCTTGTGTAGGGCTGCAGTCTAGGCGCTGGAGAAGCTGGAGGTGAGCGAGACTCGTCTGTCCCCAGAGCATAACAGGAATCAGTCTCATGCTCTCCACTCCTCCATGACCACCACAGCAGCTGCTCAGGATACGACCTGGTCCAGGATTATGGAAACCTTGGGATCATCCCGTCGCTGCTTTTGCATCATATAAGTGGCGCTGCATAGTCTCTGAGGGCCTCGGGATGAGTATCCCCAACATGATACTCATGAAAAACATGAACCACAAAATATGGAAAACTGCTAATTGATGGTGTATGAAGTCACCCTTTTCTCCAATAAAATAGCATTTTTGTAGTTTTTACCACAAGACTATGATGATATTGTTTTCAATAACTTGCATTTGTTAAAAGATTGTGCTTTCAGGCCCTCAAAATTTCACTGTCTTGTAAAAGAACAGCCAGAAAGCATTAAAAACACAGTTTTAATAGAAAACACTGTTATGTAAACACCTCATCTAGTTTGTTTGCTCTTTAAAATTTGCCTTGCTGTAACTCAAACAGTAGCGCACACTTGCGACTCATTTCCAGCAAATGCACAAACTAAGAAAACCTACCAAATGTAAATGTGATGCTAATGAATATGCACAAACATTTCATACAATCTGTCTATAACCAAGCTCTGCTCTTCTTTCATTCCTCCACCTCTCACTATCTATTTGTCAGCAGTGTGTTTGTGCGCTCGAGGTTGTGTTTGTGTGTGTGTGTGCTCGTACTGGAAGTAGCAGCTGTACAACACTGCTGTGGATGATTCTAAATGCATCTCACACTCATAATGACAGG